TACACAACTGGTATAATACACAACTGGTATCATACACAACTGGTATCATACACAGCTGGTATAATACACAACTGGTATAATACACAACTGGTATCATACACAACTGGTATCATACACAGCTGGTATTATACACAACTGGTATTTTACACAACTGGTATCATACACAACTGGTATCATACACAACTGGTATCATACACAACTGGTATCATACACAACTGGTATCATACACAGCTGGTATTATACACAACTGGTATCATACACAACTGGTATCATACACAACTGGTATTATACACAACTGGTATTATACACAACTGGTATCATACACAACTGGTATCATACACAACTGGTATCATACACAACTGGTATCATACACAACTGGTATGATACACAACTGGTATCATACACAACTGGTATTATACACAACTGGTATCATACACAACTGGTATTATACACAACTGGTATCATACACAACTGGTATCATACACAACCGGTATCATACACAACTGGTATCATACACAACTGGTATCATACACAACTGGTATTATACACAACTGGTATCATACACAACTGGTATCATACACAACTGGTATCATACACAACTGGTATTATACACAAAAGCTAAAAATTGAACGCGTTTTTAAGAATAAGGGCAATAACTCATACTCAATATTTTTAGATTCTTCTGATTTTCAATAGGGTTTATCCTTGGGTGATAACCAACACTCAAGCCAAATTTCGTTAAAATCCGTCAAGAATTGTCCCTTCTAGAGTGTTTGCAAGCTAAAAATTTGAACGCGTTTTTAAGAACAAGGGCAATAACTAATACTAAATATTTTTCATTTTTTCTGATTTTAGATAGGGATAAACCTTGGGTGATTACAAACATTCACACCAAGTTTCGTCAAAATCCATCAAGCATTGTGCCTTCTAGAGTGTTTACAAGCTAAAATTGAACGCGTTTTCAAGAACAAGGGCAATAACTCATACTAAATATTTTTCAATTTTTCTGATTTTCGATAGGGTTAACCTCTGGGCGATTTCAAACACTCACACCAAGTTTCATCAAAATGCGTCATGAATTGCACCTTCTAGAGTGTTTACGAGCGTTTCAAGAACAAGGGCAATAACTCATAGTAAATATTTTTCGATTCGTCTGATTTCCAATAGGGTTTATCCTTGGGTGATTACAAACAACCATACCAAGTTATCGAAATCAGTCAAGAATTATGCCTTGTAGAGTGTTTACGAGCAATTGTGGACAGACGGACGGGTCGAAGGACGGACCGACGGACATGGGTGGCGGCAATATTCGCTGCAC